CACATAACTGGCTGATATTCTAGTCCCATTAGACAGCACAGCTGCTGAAATCCCAGCGCATTCCGTCTCGATATTCACGGCTTCCCCTAATCCAGTTACAGGGATACTCTGTGCAAACAGGCTAAATACAAGACCTGAGGACAGCCTTAGCTTGTTGATCTGTTCGGGTGAAGTCTGAAAAGGTTCTTTGCAAATGAGGTACAGTAAAGTACACAACAAAACAATTCCCTGCAAATTCAGCAAGTTCCTTCCCGCTGTCCCTTCTCCAAGAAGTCCCTGCTTAGCTACGTTGGCACATGCAGGTGGTTTCTGCCTGGTTAGTGTACAGTTAGTTCTCTGCCTGGTACTTAAGCTGAAATCATTAACATGTGTCTTGTGTGTTACCTGAATGAAAGGCGAGTTCACGGGTTATTATTGCCCATTTTTTCTCTTTGCTCCTGCACTTCCCTGTTTCGATTACAAATCCCCCTCCAGGCACAAAGCAAGCTGGACACCTACAGTGCAGCTAAAGAGTTATTTGTTCCCTAGGTGGACACTAATGAATGACTGCAGTGCTGCCCTGAGTGAGGGGGTCCCCACTATTAAAAGTTTAATAGAAAGATCTGAGAAGCTGGGGGCCAAGAGGAGGAGGAGGGGACAGGGAGCTGTGAGTAACTCACTAAGTGCCTTCTCTGTTCCTTTGCTGTAGCAGAGATTATACCATCCATTAGGACAGGAGCAACTGGAGAGAGGTCAGATCCCTCTGTGTTCTCCATCTGCCTTCAGTCTCACCACAAGTTGAAAAATACGGTGGTTCCTTTCCACTGTAAAATCTCTGCAAGCAGAAGGAATATGGCCTGTCTGAAAAATAAGCTAATTCAGACTTCCTTTCACTTTTCTGATTTTTTATTCTTTTGTTTCCTTCCCACTCCTCTTTGTTCTCTTTTCTTGTCCCTAATCTGTCTCTCTTTACTCTCCATACTCTTATCTTCCTCTACCTCATACTTTTCAAGACTTGGCACTAGGATAGGTATATTCAACTTGGGGGCTTAAAGGTTCTTTTTTTTTTTAAAAAAATTATTCTTTAAATGTTCCAGCACCCACATGAATTCCTGTCTGTGCTAACTGATCAGGAAGTTTCATATAACAGTGGAAATATTCATTGTCCCTTATTTCAACCAAGTTAAATATAAACCTCCTCAATTTTTCTTTCTCCCACTCAGATGTAGGAGAAATCTAGTTTTAGTTTTGCTTTTGTTTTTTGATCTAGGCCCCATTACTGTAGCATCTGCCCATGCCTGAGACCATATGAAGAAAAGGGATTGGTTATGATTGAGAGAGAGACAGATGTATCCTTTAGTTTCTCTCTGCTGTGTATTACCAAGAATATTCTGGTAATCTCTTTACATAATCCTTACAAGGAACAAGATGAACCTCTTGCATACCATTCCTATCCTAACTCCAAGAAAGAGGTTTTTATTGTAGGTTCACCAACATGTTTGGTACTCTGAGGACCTGCAGGATGCTGCTTGTGTTGCAAGGGACAGCCAGGGAACAGCCATGGAAGAAGCTTCCTTGCACCAGAGGTGTTTGAGAGAGTTAGAAATATGCTGGAGCTAACTGTAACTATATTCAAGATTTTTTTTGTGGTGGGATATCATAACCTCCCTCCATTTTGGCAGTAGAGTTCTAGGATTAGAAACCTCTGCTAATCTTTTGATAGCTGGTAATAGAAGTGGATGGAGGAACTAAATTATAATGTCTTCTCCATGGTTCTTTGGACCCCCGTGCCATCTTTCATACAGAGCTCTTCTAGAAGGCAGTGCAAGAACATTTTGAGCCTGTAAATGCATCCTGAAAAGAACACTGATACCTGAATTTGATGCCTGATCTCTTTGAAACAGTCTGATTAAGAAAAGGCCTCCAGAAGTGGTGTTGCCCATACAACCTGTCGGCACAGGTTTCTTAAGATTGCTGCCTGGCCGAACGTGTCAGATTCCTGTTTGGAAATATCTGGAGTGGGTCCACAAAGCTTACCTGCGTTTTCCTTTCTCATTGCCTTTCCTTCAAACATTCATGTTCTGGTTGAATTATGGCACTTGGATGGCTGTAAAGCTTACTAGTGTGATTACCTGCAAAATAACTTCTAGAACAGGTAGATGTTTTCTGGTGAGAATATTTCAGGGAGATGTGTTTTCCTAAGCATTGCAAGGACACAAAATTTGTGTTCTTCTCATTTTTTAACAAGCAGTGGTTTTGAGTCTGCTCTAAAATTTGCCCTTCACTTTTTATTCTTAAATTTAACCTATTTAAGAAAATACTTTTATACTGTGCTAGTAATCTGATTGTACTTGAAGTTAACACATGCTTTCATATTGCTCTGAGTACAGTTGCTTTCCTGAACTGAGTCCTATGTTTAGAACTTAAACCTGAATCCTGGACTGCAGAAAATGCTAAAATAGGTTGCTGCTCCTAAAAACACAGGCTGGCAATTCCTCTGCTTCCCTGTGTGTTCTGTACAGACAACATTAAAGTTCAGTTGCATAACACTCATTCTTATTTTTATTATATTTGCTATTATTTTAAAAACTCTTAAGCATTCTTAGTATGTGCAGTTCAAAAAACCTGCAAGGGCAGGAAATTTCTCCCTTTCTTACCATGATAATAAGAAGTGCTTGAGAGAAATAAGGGCTGTGTGAGAAGCATTGTTATTACTCTCCTCGCTGTTATGCTCACTTCTTATGTCAGTAAAAAAAAAAAAGCTGAAACCAGGACATCTTCTTTTTGCTTTTTTGAAGAACTATCTTAAGATTTTTTTTTGTTGTTGTTTTGGGTTTTTGTGTAGAAACTATTAAACTGACTGCCATAACGATTGTACTCTTTGCAGTAGTCACTCAGAACAGGTGAATTGCAGGGAATTGCAATGCAAAATTCCCCTTGTAGTATGTCAGGTGAGACCTGAAGATCAATTCTGAATGTAGCGCGCTCTATTTGGTTTGCGGGTTTTTTTTCTTTTTTTTTTTTCCACGGCCACAGACTATATTACAGATTACTGATAATGGCAATGGCTGTTCTACAATTTTGTCACAAGTCACACTGAAACAACTTCTTGTCTCTCCTGAACATGAGATAAGAGCAACTGTACGTTTCATGATCCAGAACCAGGCAGCCTATGCCATTTCCTTTTGGCAAACGTGGTTATGGAGGCTGGGAGAAGGGCCGACTTTTAGGTTACCCAACAGTCTGCAATTAGCAATACCCCAAGATTTCTGGGTTTTCTCATCCAGCTTTCTTTTGTGTGACTTGCATTATAAGAGAAGCCAGAGCGAAGTGAACTGGAGAGGTCAGTAAAATACTATTGTTCAGTCTTGTTCTTTGCTTTTAAGGTAAGTTGATCCTATTTGCAGGGATGTCCTTTTGGTTTTAACACTTTTCTGACTTTACTAACAGACCCAAGAATAGAAGTGGTTAGTTAATAAAGTCTTAAAAAAAATATGGTAAGACACCTTTGTATCTGAAAAACAGTGAATCCATATACAAACAACTGAATAAAAAAACCTCCAAATGCATTTTATCTGCAAAATGAAAAGTACAGAAATCTTGCAACTGATCGAGAAAAACTGTCTATACCTGCTTCTTCCAACCTTTTGAACCCTTCTCCAGGAATAATGCTTTCCATAGTTTGATGCTTGCAGCTCCATAAAGAAAAAACTTTTGTTGTGGGAATCTTACTCTCTGCTTTTAGTAATTGTAACAGCAATGCTGAATTATATTAGTTGTCCATTTATTTTAATGTCCTGGTTCCGGTAAGAACTAGAATCATATGTTTAGGACGAAAATGCAAGAAATCTTTGGTTGGTAAGCTCTGCACTTACAGGCTCCTGTTACAAAGTAAGCAATCAGAAATCTATTTGGGCAGAAACTGAGTAGCTGTTCTGAATTTTTTTGTGACTATGAATTTTTTTAGTTTAGGCCAAGTTGTAACTTGAGAGCTGACAAATAGTTGACCAAAAATGACACACAGAATGATAAATAATGCAGGTGTGGGTGCTTTTGGGGGGGTAAGTGGTCCTTTCCTGTGAGAAATTGTAGAGATAGAGTAGTTAGTGAGTAATTCTTCCATGTAAGTGGGAAGATTCTTTTGCTTCTGTTATGTCCTACTGAACTGGTTTTAGGAGCAGTTCTGGGAGAATAACTAGACTTATTTTTCCGAACAGAGGATGAATACATGGTATGTTTATAAAACTCATAAACATGAGTTTCGTCCTGTTTCATTCTCTGTCCTACATTAACATTCTCTGACATTCAGGACCAAAGCCTACATCTGAAGAAGGTAATAGATGTCACAGCAATGAACGTGTAAGCTCATGGATCTCAAAATAACAATAAAATCATGTTATAAAATATTTAAATATTATACAATATAAAATAAGTATGATATTTTAATATATTCACATGCAATATATTTGTATATATTTATGCTTTTATAAAAATATAAACCAAAATATAATCCATAATTAGTGAATCCAATAATGGTATTTAAATTATGTATGCTAGATATTGGAAAAAATTAAACAACTCCAGATAGGTTCCACAAGAAACAGCGTGTCACGAAAGAGAGCTGTCCAGAAATGAAGAACAAGACACTGATAGGGAGGATGATTAAGCTGAAGTAGCAGCCCTTTCTGGTTTCTGAACTCCTTAAACAGCACCTGGCCTCTTCCCTTCTACTGAAGATACAGACAGAAACCTTCTCCTAAGGGTAGTTAGCTAATCTTTCAATTTATGGAGTAGTGACAGATAATGCAGCTCGCTGGCTCACTGGTTAGTGCTTCAACAGTCAGCAAAAGTCATCCATGTCCAGATCTTTTGCTGATCTGTGGGTTTCAAGCTGAGGAGGTAGCATTTGCTGTTGTGTATGTTCCTTTTATTCTCTTTTTTAAGACTTTAAATGAAAGACTCTCAGATTCAGTGAGGAAGAGTGCTGAAAAGGAAGGTACTAAGCGACTCTGTAGCCTCACCTGCGGCACTCTCAGTGTCCCGACGCATCGAATAGGCAGCCTTGGATGTCTAATGCCAGGGCCTGTGCTCTGCTCGGACACCTCAGAGTCAGAGCTTGTGCTCAGTATCAGCACGGCAAAGTCCTTTTTCAGATCTGGCCTCTAGGCACAGATCTTGAAAATAGTCAAGTTTACATTCATTAAAACTAATGGGAATATTCTTGTGTATAAAGTAAAAATGTTTCAGGGCCCCAAATCCATGCCCAAATGTTCATTGGGACTGGTCTATGGGTTAGGCCTTCTTTCAGACTGGAATCTTGCTATTTTCCACTAAATACCCGTTCGCTTGTGCGTAAAATCACAGGACTCTTCACTTGCCCTCCTACACAGTGAAAATCGCAGTGGTCCAGCCTGTGAACTGATTCTTCTGATGCTGAGAATAGCAGAGGGCTGGGTAGGAAAGCATACCGCAGTGGGCATGGTGCCCCAAAAAGCAGTCTCTAAAAGAATTGTTTTAATTACTATTGAGGGCTCGCATACCTTGTCTTTCTCCATGTTTCAAAGGACGTTGGTCAGTAAGGTACCAACAGTAGTACGCAATAAAGATTGAAATTGAGCAGCACTGTGATGATACAGACATTTATGTCTCCTTTCAAAGCACTGGAAAAACTGGAAAGGCTGGGCTGTGGACAACAAATGGGCACCAGGCTGAGGAATGGAGGCTCACAGTGCTGAAGAGCAAGGTGGTGTACAAAATACGAGAGCTGGAGTAACGCCCTCTTGCTCTTACTCCTGCTGCTGAAGACCCTCTGGTTTCCAGAGCGGGCTGGGACTTCTTGGTCTCGGGTGGGCAGAGACTGGGAGATAACCAGCATCTGCTTGGAAAGGAGTTAGCACCCCTCCTCACGTGGTGGGTGCCGTGTGCCTGCTCGGCTCCAGAGGCTTTCAGTGGACAGAAGAGCCGTGAGGCAGAGCTTCATGGAGCCACAGGGGCAACGTGGAGCTTACCAGTATGGTAGGGCTTCAGAGAGACTCAAATGGCATCGCTCTGTGAAAGAAAAGGGGAAAACATTTGCCCAGGTTCGGATGTGAGCGCTTTGTATCTGGCGGGGCCGTAGGTGTAGATTTTCTGTAAGGTAATGTGGGAAGCAGATTTCGACAAAATTATAGTAGGGGCATTAGCTTTTCTTCACTGCTGTTTTCAGTCACTTAGAGACGTAAATATAATTTACCTACATACATCCAGAGGGGTGCTGCTTGTTTTAAGCAGCCTAACTGTTCCCTGCAGTCACTTAAAATTACCTTTTAAATACATTAATAGGGCAATTTTACAATGATATTTGGGAATTACATTTCGGCTTACATGTGTAACGGATGAATTTGCAGCAGCCAAGAAGGAGCTGTTTTAACTCTGATTCGTGAATCTATTCCCCAGAAAAAGAACGCTGCTGTGGACAATGATTTGGGGAGTTAAGTCTTTCATATTGGCTGGGACAA